CTTTCTTTCTTTCTTTCTTTCTTTCTTTCTTTCTTTCTTTCTTTCTTAATGAGAGACAATATAATCCAGTGTTTCAGAGAGAAGGTCCTGGAGCCAGCTGACCAGAGCTTAAATTCCAGCTCCTCTATTTGCCGGCTTTGTGACCTTGGGCAGTTCCTAACCGCCTCTGTGCGTCAAGTTCCCTGTCTATAAAATCGTTGTGATAATTACGTCTGCTTCGTTGGTTTTTGTAAAGATAAAGCAAGATCACACACAAAGGCCAGACCAACCACAGGTACTAGTAACACCTAGTAAATGTGAGCCATTTCTTGTGGCGTTTGAGGGTTTGGCTTTTGGTTTCTTCTCAGCTCCCTTGGAGGGTCTGTCCTGAGTCTTTTCTGCAAGCTGGTGGCTGCTCAGTCCTCACTCAGGTGGGGAGAGGCGAGTGGGCACCGGACCTGTCTCAGGGTCGATGAGGTAGTAGCTGCCAGGGCTGAGAGTCCAGCCAATTCTTTCTATCCATTCCTCTTTCCTCCCCCACCCTTTCCTCTCCTTATCTTTTCTTTCCGCTGTGTTTGAAGTCTGAGCCTAGTGGGTGCTCTACCACTGGGCTACACCCTCTGCTCCATTGTTTCTATTTTATTTATTAGTTGGGGTCCCCTATTTAAAACATACTTTGTCTTTTGTTTGGTTACACAAAGAGAAAGCTCAGTAGAAAGTTAGATCGATGGCTTGACTCTTTGTTTACTTGTCTACCATTTTCTCAAGCCATTACTGATTAATTTAGTTTATTTATTTACTTGATTTTTGGTTTGTCTTGGTTTGGTTTGATTTTTCGAGACAGGGTTTCTCTGTGTAACAGCTCTGTCTTGGAACTAGCTCTGTAGACCAGGCTGGCCTTGAACTCACAGAGATGCACCTGTCTCTGCCCCCCAAGTGCTGGGTTAAAGGTGTACACCACCATCTCGTGACTTTGTTTTTGTTTTGTGTTTTGAGTCAGGACCTCCTTGTTATGTAACCCTGGCTGTTCTAGAACTGGTTATAAAGACAGGCTGGCCTAAAACTCAGATCAGAGATCTACCTGCCGTTGGCTCCTGAGATTAAAGGTATATTCCACAACACTTGGTCCTTCAACTTTTTTTCTTTCTTTCTTTCTTTTTTTTATTTTTTATTTTTATTTTTTGAGATATGTGTAGCCCTGGTTGTCCTGGAACTCACTCTGTAGATCAGACTGACCTTGGACGCAAGAGACCACCTGTATCTGTCTCCCAGTGCTGGGATTAAAGGCCTGCCACCACAGCCCGGCTTTCCAGCTATTTTTAAAATAGAGATATGGATGCAGGGGTAAACACAACTAATAGTCCCAAAAAGTCACTTTTTTTTTTTTTTTTTGTTAAAAGTGTCTCATCTTCAGTGACTTCTAAATTGTTTTTGTGACTTGGGCCAGTAAAATAGTGTATATGGATTATATAATGGAACAGAGGCAACCTGGGGCCAAAGGCCCCTTACCCCTCAGGAAGGGGTTGATTGGTCTCTCACAGCTGCATTTGAATTTATTCTAGCTTTTGTCACAGGACTTTCTAGGAACAGAAAGATGGTTATGGGCACAGTAGGGAGGAAATTAGATGTCTTCCGGCCCCTCCCCCATGCTGATCCAAACTGTAAACAATCCCCTTTCCCTTACCAATTTTTCTTCCCAACAGTGTTTTATGGACCTCAATGCCTGTAACAGGGCAGGCTACTTCCCTAAGTTCTGATTTCTAGGGTAGGAAACAGAATCTCAAGACCACAATTTGGCTGCTTCCTTGCTTGGACACTTCTTCTAGTCTCTTCAACTGACACAGTAGCAGACAAATGTATATATTAATTAATGCATGGATACATTCAAAATAGCCTATGAAGTCCTACTGATACTTCTAATATAAATCCAAAACTAAAAGAGTTTGTTTGTTATTTGAGGCAGGGTCTCATTGTAGCCCAGGCTGGCTTTGAGCTAAGGATGGCCTCGAATTCCTCATCCTTTATGCCTCCATCCCTATGTCCTGGAACTACAGCCAGCCATATCACTACACTATTTTCTTTACAAATGCTTCGTTTATTTATTTATTTTACATACATGTAGAGGTCAGGGAACTTTGTGAAGACAGTTCCTTTTTCTCTCCTCTACAGGGGATCTGGGAATCAAACTCAGATCATCAGGCTTGCGAGGCAGGGGCCGTTATCTGCTGAACCGTCATCTCCCGTTTCTATCGCTGTGCTTATATATGACTAGCCTTTGGTCTTTACAAGATAAATTTTCCTTTGTGATCCTCATTTTTAGCTCGGCCACTGTATATTTAATACTCCCCACCAGTCCTCAGCTTGATGTTTCTCTAATCATTTTGACAGTCTTAAATGAGTTTTTAAGACTGTCTATCAAAGTTAGATTAATCAAGTGCTCTTCAGAGAAACGGGCCCAGTCTGATACAGGTATAGTAGAGGAAAACTTATCACAGAGAATCAGCTCGTATGGTTACGGAGCCAAGAAGCCTCGAGCTCTGGAGGAGCTAGAGACCCAGAAAACCAAAGCCCCAGTTCAAGTCCGTAGTCTTGACAGGTAGACAGGGAGCCGGGAGTCTAAGCTCGGGCCGGGACAGAGGAGAGCTCTTGGAGTCTGCAAACAGAAGTGCGAGTCACTTCTTTGAGGGTGAGAGTGTCGTTCTGTCTCTTTCGGGCCATCTGCGGATTAGATCCGAGGCCCACCCACTCTCTGAAAGGCCACCTGCCACTCAGGCTGCCTATTCGAATGTTAAAGTCTTCCAAAGACACCCTGAGGAGCTACCCAGAATAACATTCAACCACTCAGCCAGGCTGACAGAAAATTAGGCAGAATTGAGTTTCTAATTTAGTGGTAAGAATGTTTGGCTAGCCAGCACGAAGTCCTGGGTTCAATCCCAAATACCTGCCCCTTAAAAAAAAATCCCAGAAAGTAGAAGCAAGAAGACTTTGATGCTGTCCAGATCAACAGTTGATTCCACCTGCTAGTTCAGAAGGTCTGTAGTGAAGCTGGTAGGCTCTCATACAAATGACTGCCATTCTCAGGCCAATGTCCATCTCCCGACGTTCCTAAGCCACTGGAGTCAGCGGTTGCTGAAACTAGCAATCAAACCCCATTCTACAGAGGCAGAATGGAAGCTGCAGGAAGTGACAGAATCTGACCCGGGCCACATAGGTGTAGAGGGACCAGGGTGAACATGGATCTGCTGACTCAGCCCTCCACTCCCCTCGACTCTCCTGGAAATCCCCGGAGGACAAGGTTCACACCAAGAGGACGACGTTTTCTACTCTGGGGTCCATGGTTCGTGGACTGATTTGCACAGACATTCCAAGCCGCACAATCTCTCTGTGACTACTTCAGTCGGGTAAATCCTCAGACTTAGGATAGCAGAGAAGGGAGAGAAGAAGAAAGAGGTTCGTAGATGGGCTTACTATAATTTAAAACTTCAGGATGCTAGTTTTTCCATTTCTTGAGCCAACCAATGATGCTATTGGGATTATCAAAGCAAGAGAAAATGTAATAGGAAAAATTGTGCAAACAGAGGATACTTAAGATAGACACACAAAGCCAAGTGCAGGGTACAAGCCTATAGCTCAGCTATTTGGGAGACTGAGGTAGGAGGAGACCTGAGCCAGGAGTTTGAATACCCCTCCCCCCCCACAACAAACTCCACTTCCTCTTTGTTGTTAAAAGACATGATCTTACTATGTAGCCCTGGCTGGTCTGGAACTCTGGGTATCAACGAGGCTGGCCTCGAACTCACAGAGATTTGCCACCAAGTAGTGAGATTATAGGTGTTTGCCACCACTTGCAGAGAAACTGTCTGTGGACCTGTGAAAAGGGTGGGAAGAGGCGGAAAAGAAAAAAAGAAGGCAGGTGCAGTGGCTCACAGGATTACAAGAGTGAGGCAGGAGGATGGCTGTGAGGCCAGCCTGGCCTACCTACCTAGTGAGGTGCAAGTAAACTTGGGGGACAGAATAAAACCTTGCCTCAAACAAACAAATGAAATACCAAAACATAAAATAATGAGAAAAAAAGGGCCAAACTCAATTCCCAAGCAAAACAAAAAAATAAATAAATAAAAATAACAAAGAAAAAAAAGATAAGTGAGGAAGTATATTTATTCAACATGATTTAAACATGTATATGTGTGTGTGTATATATGTGTGTGTGTATGTATATAGGTGTGTGTATGTATATAGGGGTGTGTGTGTATGTATATAGGTGTGTGTATGTATAGGTGTGTGTATGTATAAAGGTGTGTATGTGTGTGTGTGTATAGGTGTGTGTGTATATATATTCATTGAAACATCTTGTACCTGATACTTTGGAGGCTGAGGCACAAGGATTATGAATTTGAGACAGTTTGGGATGAAGATAAACTCCAGGACAGACTGGGATTACTCCATTAATATGTGTCATTTTAATCTTTTTTTGTTGTTGTTGTTTCGAGACAGGGTTTCTCTGTAGCTTTGGAGCCTGTTTTGGCACTGCCTCTTGTAGACCAGGTTGACCTTGAACTCACAGAGATCCGCCTACCTCTGCCTCCAGAGGGCTGAGATTAAAGGTGTGCGCCACCAACTGTCCAGCTGTCATTTTAATCTTTTCATGGATTAGTTTAAAATTTTAATTAAAAAAAAAATACAAAGCAACCAGACATAGTGGCAGAAGCCTTTCTTTATTCCCAGCACCCAGGAGGCAGAGGCAGACAGATCTCTGAGTTTAAGGCCACCCTGATCTAACAGTTCTAGAACAGCCAGACCTGTGTAGAAAGACCCTGGGTTTTTTTGTTTGTTTGTTTGTTTGTTTCTTTTTTTTGTGGCTGAATTTCTCTGTAGCTTTGGAGCCTGTCCTGAAACTAGCTCTTGTACACCAGACTGGTCTCTAACTCACAGAGATCCGCCTGCCTTTGCCCCCCAAGTGCTGGGATTAAAGGCATGGGCCACCACCGCCTGGCTAAGACCCAGTCCCAAAGGCCAAACAAACAAGCAAAGAGCGTGTGAGCCTCCAGAGGCTTGTCTTTCCTAAACCAGAAATCCCACCCATGAGAAAGGGATTCTATAGCCAAGTGGTGAACGTCCAATTTTTTTCCTTCCTTTATCTTTCTTTTGTTTCACTAACGCATTTAATTAGTATACAACGTAGTAGGTTCCATTAATGCCACTAGCACACACAATCTGCTTCTTATGATTT